GTGCATATATCAAAAGGTCCACTGTACCTTGGAAGGCTAGCAGGTTCCTTCAACTCAGTAGGACCCAAATGGATTGTACCATCCTCATTAACTTTCTTTTATAAGCTCCACTGAGTTGCTCAAACCAAAATTGTAAGCATTACCCTTAGATCCTTCTCTCTCATTCTTTCTACTGCATCTGTTACAAAGTTTAGCCAGTTTTTCCATATGTCTGTGATGACTTCTCTTCATTTTCACTGCCACTATCTTAATTTACATTAATATTGCCACTAACCTGGATTGCTGCCATAGCTTCCCACCAGATCCTTTTCCAAGTCATTCCTGTCTTCCTCCAGTGTGACAAAAACTCATCCTGATGCTCTTCTGCTGCAACCCATCAATGTCCCCAATACCTCCAGCCCAGCTCTTCAACTGCGGCAACAGTCATGCTTCCCTCTGCTTCTTGTCTGACTGTTCTTCATTTATGCCACCCTCTCTAGGCCCAGGATATTTGCGCATGCTATTTCCTCTGCCTGGACAATTCTTCCTCTAACTCTTCATCAGGGTAGCCTACCTTTCAACTCTCAGCTGAAGCATCACCTCATCAGGCAAGCTTTACCCCAAACCTCAAACCTCCTACTTTCCGACTTTGTTTGCTACACAAGTAATTACTTCTATGCTGGCTCTTTACCACACGAGAATGTAAATTCCAAGAAGGTGAGGACCACCTGCCTGCTGTTTCAGCACATCATCCTCAGACCTTGTCAAGTAATGTTTGCCCAAGAGAGGGGTCCATTACCATATTTACAGAATAATGACTAAATATTATTTTAGAGACTAATGGAAGATGGTTGGTGTCATTTTACTTTGTATATATGTCAAACTGAGAGATAACTTTGAAGTAGGATCTCGTAAGATACTTATATTTTGTCTCCTCACTATACATTTGGAATCTTTAGGATGCTTTTCAACAATGGACACATCTCTGGATTCCACATTATTGTTCTGGTTTTACATCTTCCTGGCAGCCTTATCAGCAAATTCTTCTACAGAGATGTCCATTGTTGATTCTGGTATACAATGAAGACCCACTTTACACGTAAGTGGATCTCAGGTTTTGTAATAAGTAGTAATATATTTTTAATTACCTAAGATACAGTTATTGGTAAGAGATATTTCTGAGATGTAACTGCATAGCAAAACAAATACTCTTTGACATGTTCTCATTTTGATTGCTTCTTTGGTCTTTACTAAAACTTCTTGTTAACCTTATCTTAATCCCCTTAAAATGTCTGTTCCTCTCTTCTCAGGCTAATCTATAATCATTGTGCCACATTTATATTCCCACAGTCTTCAAAGCTGAATGTCACCTCAACCTTATTTGTTCCCCTGTCCCTTCATTATGTCTTGTTCATTAAAAGATCCCGGACTTTTATTGTTTACATGCCAAATGCTACACATACATGTTTGCTTCCTCTCACAGCAATCCGATGGAGCAGGTACAATTTTTCTCCACCTTTTTTCTTGTCCAAGTTACAAAGTCACTAAGTATTTGAGCTGGACTTTGAACTTCAAAGATCACCTCTTTTCCTTTACGCACCCAGTGTGGGCTATGCTATTTTACTTGCTGAGAGGCACGCTACTTTTATTTTAACTTGTTACCCTTTCCCCTCTTAATTTCTGGTATGTAATAGGCCTTCAATAAATCCCGTCTTAATCATTCACTGAGCCATTATTATTATTCTAGAGGGATGAAGGCATTTGTGGTGCATCCTGTTTACTGAATTTTACTCTCTCCACTCAAACTGAAGTGGGCCTGAGTAGAAGAGACTGGTAGTTTAGAAAGTACAGCGTGGGTAACAAATGGTCGGAAGGAAAACCCGGCTTTGAGACATTTTCCAGGGTGAGAGGCGCTTTCTATGGCTACATCCTTTGGTCACTCTGTGCCTCATACTGCTTTGGGACTCCTTTGAGTACCGGATGACAATCTAACACCCCCACCCCCCTTCTCCTGATCGTGTAAAAGGTTCCTATTGTGCATAATGGTAGGGAGAAAAGGAAAGGAGCAGTTTTCCTTGATCATAGATCTCCATTCCGATGCCTCTAACTCGACCGAGTAGCCACATATGGGAGACGCGCAGACCTCTCCCTCCCCACCACCGTGTGTGTGTGTGTGTGTGTGTGTGTGTGTGTACGCGCGCGCCCGTCTGTGGATGGGCTCCTGTGAGCCTCGGAGCCTGGTCGAACCCCACGTTGTAGATCTGCGCTTTGTTTATGGCGCCGTATTATACCTGTCGCTAACCCAGAAACTCCCTTGGTCTGTGAAGGCATACAGCTTTCCCTTCCCGTCTGTCATCCCTCCCAGGGGAACTGCAGGATTCTCCCCCTCACAGCCCTCCCACCTCCACACTTCCCCTGGAGTCACCGCACTCCCTACCCCCCAGCAAGCTGCTACAGAATGACCCTCTAACTAGGGCGGGGAAGAGAAAGGTTATCGGAAGGTAAGTGGGGCATCAGTGCAGCCCAGACCAGGACCCCTAGGAGTCCTGGGTGCTATAGAGACAGGGAGCCTGCCCAGGGACACCGGCCGTCCACCCCAGACCCTGCCGGCCGGCTACCCGTCCTGTCCACTGACACCGGCCGGCAGGGACAAGCCTGGTCTAGTCCTCCCGCAGCCGCCGCGGGCTCCGCGGGCTGTGTGAGCTCCGCCGCCGCTGCGAAGGGCTGACCGCGGGGTCTAGGCTTTCTCCTTCAGTGTTTAGGCACGCTGGCTTTGAAGGGCAGTCCTGGCTTCACCTCTTGCCATCCGAGTGAGTGACCTTGGGCAAGTTCTTTAGCTTCAGTGCGCCAATTTCTAAATCCATAAAAGAGGGACACTGAAGTGACAGCTAAACGCTAGCATTGTTTTAAGAATGAATTAATGCAGCACTCAGCACATAGTAGGCGCTCAGTTAACAGTGACAAGGATTAGTAGTACTAAGTTAGGAGCTAAGCACTGGGGACCTGGGGACGAGAATAAAGACTTGAGCGCCAGCCCTCCCAGTTCTTCACCAGGTCGGAGGAGCGGGTGGGGAGGACGACGGCGGGATCACCTGCCCTACCCTACATTTCCCTGGTGCTGAGCAAACTCCGTAGTGCCCAGAGATTCGGCCCTCGGTCTCCTTGGGACCGCCCGGATGCCCCGAGCCTCCCTGCACCTCCCAGTGCCAGCCGCACTTCTTCCTCCCTCCAGCAGAGGAAAGCTTTCTTTTGTGAATTGGGCATCTCCCCCATCCCGCCCTCCACCTCAAGCTTGCTGACTCCTCCGGGTTCAGGCGCCGGGAGAGCCGGCCCGAACCTCGCGAGGGAGGAAAAAGTCAGCCCCTGGGTGTGCAAGTCCCGCGGGCTGGGAAAGGAAGGGTGAGAGGACGAGGAGGCGCGGAGCCCGCAGGAGAACTCGGAGCCCCGGGAGCTCGCGGGGCTGGTCCCTGTCTGCCTGCTTCCAAGGGCTGCTCGAGCTTGGGGCATCCGCAGGTGCAGCCCCCGAACCGCCCGGCGTCCGCCCCTCGCCCGCGCTCAGGGGCCTGGAGCGCCCGCGGCGCGCGCGGCGGGAGTGGGCGGTGAGCGCGCGCCCGCGAGGTAAGGAGGGGCGGGAGCGCGCTGGCACGGGGGCGCGCTCGGGGTGCGCGGGGCTGAGGGGGCGTGGGGGGGTCGGTCGGGCGCTTCCCACCCGGCCACCTGCCCTCCCGGTGCGGTGTCGCCGCCCACGCTTCTTGTCCCCTGCACCTGTGCTCGGGCGCTTGTCACTCGCATCTCTCGCGCCTCCGCGTCCCATCTCCCCCTCAGCCGAACCCCACCCTGCCCACTAATAATTTCCCACTGCAGAATCAGACCGAAACCTGAAGAGACAGCGCTGCCTTTTTGCTCCCCTCGCTGCTCCCCCTCCTCCTTGCTATAAATAACCCTGACTAGCGGGTCAGGAGCGTCACACGGCGAGAATCTAGGACCCCGAGGTTTCCTTCTCTGGGAATAGGGGGCAAAGGGCGAGGAGAGGAGAAAGAAATTACTCGTGAGTAGTGAAGAAAAGCTTGCTCCTTGACTCCTTAAAAAGATCAGGCATCATTTTATTCTTCTTTCCTTTTCCTTTCTTCTTTTTTAATTTTTCCGTTTCGTTCTTATTCTCCACCACCCCCCACCCCCGCCCCAAATCCTACGGGTTGCTCAGCCCTCCTGCCATCGGATTTTTCCCTTCTTCCCCTGCGACTCCAGAGGAGTCCCTCCCTCCCCCGTCGCGCTGCCCCTACCGCCACCCCCACAGCCCCGTCTCGCCCCAGGCAGGGGATGCTGTTTGCAAAGAAATAAAAGTTCAAACTCCTTGCCCTGTCTCCTGCCGAGCCGGGAGTGGGCTTGCGGGCACCCCTCTTCCGCTCGCTCCCACACCTCCTCCCCTCTAAATCCTAATCTGGTTCTGCATATTTAAGAGGACACACACACACCCCAAAACCCTACAACCCGCGAGGTGCAAAACTGCCGCCTGCAACTACCGAAACTTACCAGACGTTGTAGTTTTTTGTCTTAACGAAAGGACAATAGCAAAGGTTTTACTCTGGATGCTCCTGGGGTGCGATTTTTCTACATGACTCAAATATATGTATATTATACATATATATGCTTTTCCTTTTTCCCCTTTAATTTTTTTTTTTTTTTTTTAAACAAGGAAATCTGCTCGGTCTCCGGCAGCCGCCGCTTCCCCTTTGATGTTTTGGTACGCCGTGCGCATGCGCCTCACATTAGAATTACTGCACTGGGCAGACTAAGTTGGGTCTCCTCTCTTCAGTGAAACCCTGAATCCCGTCAAAAACTAAAGGGATGTGGAGAGTCCGGAAAAGAGGCTACTTTGGGATTTGGTCATTCCCCTTAATAATCGCCGCTGTTTGTGCTCAGAGGTAAGTGTTATCCAGCGTTCCTCTTTTTCCTTTCTACTTTCAAGGGCTCTGCCTGCATACCTCTGAGAACAGGGAAATGTAGTAAGGATTAGATGCTGAAGACGCTGTGCCTGCTTTCTTACTGATGCCTGTTTATTGTCATTTTCTTCTATAGTGTCAATGACCCTAGTAATATGTCGCTGGTCAAAGAGACGGTGGATAGACTCCTGAAAGGCTATGACATTCGTCTGAGACCAGATTTTGGAGGTAATGGGGTTGCCTTGCAAATGTGAAACAGTCCAGCTGTAGCCGAAGCTGTCTTTCAGAGCTTTGTGCGCGTTCTCCTCCCTTTCCTTAGTTGTGGGTGCATGTGGTGTGCTGAATAGGTCTCTATTTTACCATAATTGAGAAACTGAGCCAAACTTAAGCTGGTTTGTTGCTATCCAGCACCTGGGTGGTCTTTCAATGAGACCTCCTAATGTGTACTCAAATTTGGCGACTGCTGTCTTTCAGCTTCACTGTTATAAATCCTTTGCTTCACTATTTTTTTGCATCCTTCAGATCTAAACCTCTTAAGTTCAGTTCATAGTGTTCAGAGAGAACCTGGCTTACAGAAGGCCATCGTGAACATTTTTGAGGACAAGATGTGCAGGCATTTGGTTGAGAGGTGGCATTAACCCTCTGTGCCCGCCTACTTTGGAAGAGTACTTCTGTCCATGGCTTAAAGTGGTTCTTCTCTGGATATTATCCAGTTCTCCAAGCCCCACAGAAAGGGGAAGGATTGGGGAATGGGAGGGTAGGGGGAAAATGGGAGGGGAAAAGGGGAGCTGAGAAAAGGACTTTTGCCTGCAGCCTTAGATATGCTGATATACCAGTTTAATTTT